CAAGCCGACGCTCTATCTATTGAGCCAAACCGGTCTCAGCTGATTAACTCTTATTTATATCAATCAGACCATGTTAAAACTGGTTTCATTATATGTCATTTTGCTTAAAGTCACAGAACCTATTGATGATGTTAAGTGAGGACTTAACGTTATAAACCAATGCAACCTAAATAATAAAAAAGAGACAAAAATCGAAATAAAACACTTCTTTTTGTACCTAAATGTGGCTCATTGTATCTTTACTGGTTGAATCAGTCAGGCCTAGCCTTGTCTTGTGTGCTTGAGACTGAGGTGGGGCAAACGGGAGGGGACGAGGATTGGGGGTGATCAGGAGTCCATTTTGAACATACTTGGTTAGGGGTGCTTGTTAGACATGGATTGGGCAGTTAGTTGGCTATATGAGTCTGGAGCTCAGGGGAGGGGTCTGGAATAGAGATGTAAACCTCGGTGTTATCAGCATAGAGATGCTATTTACAGCTACTTATAAGGACAGGGTGTAGGTAAAAATTAGGACCAAGACCTGAGTTCTGGGATCCTCCTTATGCAGTTGGAGAGAAAAGAGGGATTGGCAAAAGAAACTGGGAAGAGGGGCCAGGGTGAAAGAGAATGAGGAAAATGGGTGTGTGTGTGTGTGTGTGTGTGTGTGTGTGTGTGTGTGTGTGTTTGGGGGGGTGGGAGGGGTGGGGTCCCAGAAAACAATGTTCAAATTGGGTCCCGGTTTTACCTTGCCTGAGAGGGCCTTCCTAGGGTGGGCAAATTGTATGTGGGTTCTTTTTTAAAAATAAGTTTTATTGATTTTTTACAGAGAGGAAGGGAGAAGGATAGAGAGTTAAAAACATGGGTATGTGCCTGCAACCAAGGTACTTGCCCTTGACTGGAATCGAACCTGAAACCCTTGATTCCGTGGGCTGTTGGTCTATCCCAAATCGGCTAGGGCTGTATGTGGGTTCTTGACTTGATGTAGGAAAAATTTCACAGGAGTCCAGGTGAGTTTTAGAGGGCACTTATTAAAGCTGAGGACAGAGCAATGGGAAGGGCCTGGGCTAACAGGAGAGGGACTAGGGGGCAGTGAGCCGAGGCCGGGCTGCTTTGCTCACTAAGAAGTCGGCGAAAAGGGGCCTTGGGACAGGGTCAGAGGTCGGCCCAGGACGAGCTGCCTGCCCTGGCTGCCGCCTCACGTCCCGTCGTCCCGTCGGTTGAGGAGACGCATCCGGGGAAAGACGTGGGGAGCGGCGGGAGGCGCAGGCGCGCTTCTGGGAGGAAGAGCTCGAGCTGGGACCTTGGCTTCTTGGGGTTAAAGGCTAGGCTGCGGGGGAGGTCTTAGGGGAGGATAATGGAACATTCAGGAGCTTTATGTTGATGTGTCAAAATGAGATTTATTCTCTTAGCCTCATCTGTCCTTGAGTGTTTTGGTAATTGGATTTCTGCTGTCTGTCTCTCTGAGTTGGGTGATTTAAGCTGTTTACTCTCTGGTTGGGGAGAGATGCAAACTATTCACTCTTAAGTGTTCTTGGTTTACAGAAGATACGATTTACTATATGGCTGCAAACCGCTTGGTACCTAAATTTTCTAGAGGGCTACACACTGCTGTTCAACTATCTGTTCCAATTTTCCTTTTTCGCTTGTCCTGGCTCACTGGCCTGTCTCCCAGGAAGAAGTGGTCAAATGTCAAAGGCTTAAAAACGTGGGGCAGTAGTTGATGTGGAAAGTGGGATTAAATTTTTTTTTTCTTTTTTCAGTATATTTTTATTGGTTTCAGAGAGGAAGGGAAAGGGAGAGATAGAAGCATCAATAATGAGAGAGTCATTGATCGGCTGCCTTTTGCATGACCTCTACTGGGAATTGAGCCCACACCCCAGCATGTGCCCCGATGGGAATTGAACCGTGACCTCCCGGTTCATAGGTCAACACTCAGCCACTGAGCCACGTGGGCGAGGCTGCTTTTTCATTAAGAGATAAAAATTGAGAGGAAGCCTCAGGAAAATTTCCAGGCGGGTTTATTAAGCTTATGCGTGAGCACAGGGAGGCAGCACAGCGGAGAGGAAGGTCCTCTGGACTGGCTGGTGGGCTGGCTCTGCGTGGCTGCTTTTGTAAGCTGGGACAAAGCGGACCTGCATGAAAAGGCGGGCTTTTTAAAAGGCAGGCTTGCACAAAAAGAAGTGCGTGTGAAGGGTTCCATGTCAAGGTGCGGTTACTTCCTCTTGTTCGGTTGCTTGGCAACTGACTTCATGTTTGTGAAGTGGGAGCAAGATAGTACTGTTGCTGGTTACCGCCACTCCAGGAAGATCAAACCTTGACCAACTGCACTCGTGGAACAGTGTTTTTTTTAAACATATTTTTTTATAGAGAGGAAAGGAGACGGATAGAGAGGCAGAAACATCAACCAGAGAGAAACATCGATCAACTGCCTCATGCACACTCCCTACTGGGGATGTGCCCATAACCAAGGTACATGCCCTTGACCGGAATCGAACCTGGGACCCTTGAGTCTGCAGGCCGATGCTCTATCCACTGAGCCAAACTGGCCAGGGTAGAACAGTGGTTTTGACACCTTCTGGACACCTGGTATTTTTCTTTTCTTTTCTTTTTTTTTTTTTTTTTAAAAAAAAACCACATTTTATTGATATCAGAGAAGAAGGGAGAGGGAGAGATAGAAATATCAATGATGAGAGAGAACTATTGATTGGCTGCCTCTACATGCTTCCTACAGGAGATTGAGGCTTCTACCCAGCATGTGCCCTGTTTTCATCTATTTCTATGCAGATGAGGCCTCCTGGTTCATAGTTCACTGAACCACTGAACCACACTGGCTGGGCATACAGTATTTTCCCATTTCTGGGCCCAAGCCTTTATGATGTCTTAATATCAGATTTCTGTATATACACCCAGCATTTTTTCCATTGGCCTTATGTATTTATTCAATTATAAATACTCTTAGTTACTATAGCTTTAGGGTATCGCTTCAATATGGAACATCTGGCTGTGGGATGGGATTATATAATAAGGCATTTTTTTGTGGACAAAAGTTTGCTGCCACCAGTTCAATGCCAACACAAGTCCCCAGTGTGGAATGTAGCGATGGGAGAAACTTGATTGGAGTGAAATGGCTCCAGTGAAGCAGCTCAAACAAAACAGCTTGTGTTGCTGCTCCAGTGTCACAGCTCAAATGTTACAGCCCCAAGGAGACAGCTGAAGTTGGGGAAATGCAGTATTTGATGGTGCACTCCACCAATACAAAGGGGAGAAGTTGATCCCTTTGATGGGGGCACTGGATGTGGAGACCCGGGGACCTCAGGTTCAGGGATGACTGGCAGCCATTGCTGTTTGTTCTGCCCTGGTGATTCTGAGAGACCCCACCTCATCCAATTTACAACCCCACCCAAGCTGTGCACATAGGCTTTTTGCATATGAATGGCCTGTCCTTTCTCTGCCTAAAACTTGTCAAACTGCAGCTAGGTCAGAGAGCCCCAGAGCTTCCAAAATAAGGCCTAAGGCCTGGCAGCAGCAGTCTGGGCCTTTTCTGGGAACTTCCAAACCTCATACAAAGAGGAGGAATCTGCAGATGTCCCTGTAGCTCCTGCTGGGTGGCCCCAGATAGTGGCTGACATTGCACCTCCTTGGAGATCTAAGAGCCAGTGTACCCAGTAGTCAGAGTGAGACCATACTGAATTACAGCTCTTCACATCCATAGAAGACACACTCAGAGGGCAGACTCAATGAGCACCAAAGCCCCACTGAAGCAAGTCCTGCCCCATAAGGGTGTCTCCTGAGGAACAGATCTTCTAGTATAGACACAGCTGATCATCACAGCCAATAGGCCTGGTGATCAATTACTCCCAGTGAAACCAACAGCTATAAAGGGTTTAACTACAACAAGACTGTGCAAATAGCTCACAAAGGGGTGCACCAAGAGCATCCACCTCAGGTGACTGGGGAGGCTGAGCCACTGGGCCCTATAGGACACCTACCTCACAAGGCCACTCTATCAACTCAAGGAGACTTAGCAGCTACCCAGCACATAGAAACAAACACACCTCCAAACTGCAGAGACAAAGAAACAAGTCACAAATAAAAGAAATGGATGAAAGCAAAAAACTGGATATAGAGTTCAAAACCATGGTTATAAGGTTACTCAAGAATCTTCTAGACACCTCTGAGAAATTTAGTGAGATTCTGAAGGATATGAAAAAGGACCAATCAGAAATTAAGCATACATAGACTGAAATAAAGAATAATATGCAGAGATTCAACAGCAGACTAGACATGACCCAACTATATGCTGTCTACAAGAGATCTACCCCAAGACAAATGACTCACACAGGATGAGAGTGAAGAAATGAAAAAAAACTTTTTCAGGCAAATGGAAAAGAAAAAAAAATGCACCAGCTTATACGTCCGCTTTGATTGTACTCCTGAGCTATTTGTTAGGATACCTTCTTGGAAGTGAAAACTCCTGGGCACAGGGTTTGAGGTATCATCATCATTATTTTTTTTTAAACAAAGTAATATAGGTCTGAGTCTGAGCTGTCCTTCTGGATGGCTACAAAGGAGGGCAATTCTGGCTGAAGGGTGCTCCTGTCTCCTTGGGCAGGAGGGCAGGGCATTTGGCAAAGTGTGCTTTCGGGGAGACTCAGCGATGCACCCCCACACTCTTGAGGTCTGTGTTCATGCTTAGAACACGCGTTCCGGGAGGCAGGCCCTGAGCCTGCTTGGCTTGCTTTTCACATGCTTTCACAGCCCAGAAGCTGGTGGGCAAACACCACCTTTGAAATAGCGACCTTTCTGGTTTGGGTTAGGGAGCTGGGCGAGGGAGGGAGGTTCCTTGGGGTGGGAGGGAGCTGAGTGTGGCCACAGAAGGGAGGTCAAGGGCGCTATGTGCTAACTAAGCCCCGCCCTCTTCCTTTGAGTCTCTAGCTTATTTCAAAAGAGATGACTTCTCTTTTATGCCTTTTCTGGCTTTGGTGATTTGCTCAGTCACAGGGTGCCTGCTCTCCCCTGCCATGACCCGCCAAGTCCTGCTCTTCACAGGTGTGCCAGGGGCTGGGGCTGGGAGGTGAAGGGTGAGGAGGAGGGGAATTTATGAGTCCGGGAGTAGAGAGAAGGGGTGCAGAATATCACAGAGTTAGATAGGGGAGAGACAAAGAGGATTTGGGAGAGGATAAGAGATTCACGAAAGAGCGGAGAGTAGAGCTAGACCAAGATGTGATAAGCAGAGAGCTTGGAGGAAGGACTGAATGCATAGGCTGTGCAAGGGGGCTCGGCTGGACCCTCTGCAGCACAGACGAGGAACCTGAGACTAGAGAGGCGACACGACGGGCCAAAGTGTGCACAGCAAGTTCCAGGTCCTCTTCTCGGAGGGTCTCTTCTTGGATCCCACCTCACCACCACTTTGCCCCCAGCTCTGTTTTCTACGGACCCAGGTGTAGATGTTTGTTGAATGACGGGTGGATCAAATGATTTAGGTTTGGTTTCCTTGAATGCCTGTGATTTGTGGAGAATGAGCCAAAGATTGGGAATGAAATGCCTGAGGGTTGCCTAGGAAGGAAATTGCCTAAGGGGAGACTTTAGGAACTTGGTCTTGGGCAAATCAGCAGGGTGGGGACATAAGGTGGGGCTCAGAGAGGGGCTAGGCCAGGGTCAGCAACAGGTCAATGGGCATAAGACAAAGGTTCCACCACCGACTTGTAGAGCCTGGGAGCCTTGGGTTGCAGAGGGACATTTGTAATTGGTTCATGCTCGGGGACGCTGATTTAATCCCAGTGGAGTGAGAAATGTTATCCCCACCAAAGAATTCCCTTTGTGTCATTAGCAAACTTATATATCAAAAAGTGTACTCAATTATTATATTTTGAATTTCCCCAATGAAAAATTTGTGGAAATGCATTTGTTTTCTTGTGTATAAGCGCCTACCTATATAATACTTATATAATATCCTATATAATAAAAGGCTAATATGCAAATAGACTGAACAGTAGAACAACTGGTTGCTATGACACACAGGGGACAAATGCTCAATGCAGGAGCTGTCCCCTGGTGGTCAGTGCAGGCTCATAGCTGGCTAGCACAGCAGCAGAGGTAGGAGCCTCTCCCGCCTCGGCAGCAGCATGGAGAGTGGGCCTAAGCCATCAGTCGGACATCCCCTGAGGGCTCCCAGACTGTGAGAGGGTGCAGCCTGGGCTGAGGGATCACCCTCTCCAAGTGCACAAATTTTGTGCACCAGGCCTCTTGTATAATATATGAGTATTATATAAGTTCATAATATACTCTACTTGCCTATGGCCCACAGAGCCTAAAATTTTACTATCGGGCCCTTCATGGAAAAAGTGTGCTGAGCTCTGCCCAGGCTCTGAGCTGCATAGGGGAGCCCCACATCACCACCCTGGGTGAGGGTGAATCCCACAGGAAGGTGCACGGGGCAGGGGGTGAACTGCTTTCTTAACTCTGTGCTTCTCTCCTCCTGACCCTCACTCCTGTTTTCCCTCCAGCCTTGGCCTTATGTCATGGGTTCAACCTGGACACTGAAAACCCAGTGGTCTTTCGAGGGAATGCCAGGAGCTTCGGGCAGAGTGTGGTCCAGCTTGAGGGATCCCGGTAAGGGCCCCCGCATTTCCTTTGTCTTTTATTTTGTTTTGTTTTGTTTTTCTTGGTTTATTTTTGAATAGTTAATGCCAAGGAGTATTATATCTATTACTATATCTCCCACAGTCCTTTCTCCCAGTTCCTATCCCACAGGGTTTAAACATTTCTCCCCCACCTCCATTACAGTTTACATTCAATTTTATTTTGTATTAGTTTCTGGTGTACAGTGTACACCAGCATAGAGGTGAGACAATCATATACTTTATTAAGGGTTTCCCTGACATTGCCAATACCCACTGACACCATGCACAGTTATTACAATATTATTGACTATAGCTCTATGCTGTACTATTCTGTAACTACCAATTTGTCTTTGATCTCTTTACTATTTTTAGCCAGTCCCTCACCCTCCTGCCCCTCTGGCAATCATTAATCTGTTCTCTGTTTCTATGAGTCTATTTCAGTTTTGTTTGTTTAATTGTTTTGTTCTTTAGATTCCACATGTAAGTGAAATCATATGATATTTGTCTTTCTCTGACTGACTTATTTCACTTAGCATATCCCCCCTCTAGGTCCATCCATGCTGTCACAAATGGTAGGATTTCATTCTTTTTTATGGCCAAGTAATATCCCATTGTATATATGTACCACAACTTTTTATTCATTGGTCTATTGACAGGCACTTGGGTTGCTTTTATAGGTTGGCTATTGTGAATAAATAATGTTGCAATGAACATAGTGGTGCATATATTCTTTCAAATCAGTATTTTGGGTTTCTTCTGATACAGACCCAGAAATGGAATCACTGGTCATAAAGCAATTACATTTTCAATTACATCTAAAATCTTTTGAGGATTCCCCCTCCATACTGTTTTTCACAGTGGCCGCACCAACTTACATTCCCAACAACAGTGCAGGAGGGTTCCCTCTTCTCCACATCCTGGCCATTACTGTCATGTGTGGGTGTGTTGACGGCAGCCATTCTGACAGGCCGTGAGGAGATATCTCATTGTGTTTTTAATTTGTGTTCCTCTGATGGTCAGTGACAATGTGCATCTTTTCATGCCTCTTGGGCATTTGTATGTCCTCTTTTGAAAAAAATATATTTTATTGATTTTTTACAGAGAGGAAGAGAGAGGGATAGAAAGCTAGAAACATCGATGAGAGAGAAACATCGACCAGCTGCCTCCTGCACACCCCCTACTGGGAATGTGCCCTCAACCATGGTACATGCCCTTGACCAGAATCAAACCTGGGATCTTTTAGTCCGAAGGCCGACACTCTATCCACTGAGCCAAACCGGTCCCGCTGAAATCTCTTCTTAATGTGTCATTATTTCCACACTTTTTCTATGTGTGCAATGCTGTCATTTTGCACATGTGCAAATATATTTGGAAGCAAATTCCTGGAACTAGGATTGCTGGCTCACAGGGAACATATATGTGTGTAATTTTAATAGACTTTCCCAGCTGCCCTCTATAGAGGTGGCAGCAATTTAAACTCACACCAGAAATTTACGGACTCCTACTTCGCCCGTTTACCAATCCAGTGTGTTATCAAAGTTACTGATCTCTGTAAACTGAACAGGTGACAAATGGCGTCTCGATTTAATTGTAAATTGAATTTCTGTACAAATGAGAGATTATTTCCTTTTCTGTGAACGCTCTTCTTGTCTTATCTGTAGCCCATTTTTCTTTGGGGTTATTGTTAATATTATTTTTCCTTTAGGTTTTTGGAGCTATGACTATAATGAGGGAAGGAGGCTGAGTATGCTAATCTCTCTCCCACCAGTTTATCATTTTTTAATTTTATTTTTAACATTGCTTATGGTAATTTATCACTGACAGAAATTTATTTAAAATGACAGTGTGGTTTAACTTAACCATATTTACTTATTAATTAAAAACTTTTGATGTCTGATCGTATTTATTTGTTACTTTTGACAAAAATCTCATAAAAATTCTCACCCAAGTATGTGCTTATTGATTTTATTTATTATTTTATTTAAAAAATATTTTTATTGCCGAAACTGGTTTGCCTCAGTGGATAGAGCGTTGGCCTGCGGACTGAAAGGTCCCGGGTTCGATTCCAGTCAAGGGCATGTACCTTGGTTAAGGGCACATCCCCAGTGGGGGCTGTGCAAGAGGCAGCTGATCGATGATTCTCTCTCATCGATGTTTCTAACTCTCTATCCCTCTCTCTTTCTCTCCCTTACCACCACCCCATCTCTAAAATCAACAAACAGCCCTAGCCAGTTTGGCTTAGTGAATAGAGCATCAGCCTCAGACTGGAGGGTCCCGGGTTTGATTCCAGTTAAGGACACAAGCCCAGGTTGCAGGTTAACCCTAACCCTAACCCTAACCCTAACCCTAACCCTAACCCTAACCCAGGCGTGCACGAGGCAGCCGATCAATGATTCTCTCTCATGATTGATGTTTCTATAACTCGCCCTTCCTCTCTGAAATCAAAGAAATATTTTTTAAAATGTATTTTTATTGATTTTTTACAGAGAGGAAGAGAGATGGATAGAGAGTTAGAAACATCGATGAGAGAGAATCATCGATCAGCTGCCTCTTGCACACCCCCTACTGGGGATGTGCCCGCAACCAAGGTACATGCTCTTGACCGGAATCGAACCCGGGACCTTTCAGTCCGCAGGCCGACGCTCTATCCCCTGAGAGAAGCATCGATGTGAGAAACATCCATCGATTGCCTTCTGTTCGTGCCCCAACTGGGAATCAAATCCATAACCTTTTGGTGCTCAGGCCGACCCTCCACCCAACCGAGCCACCCCCCTCCAGGGACCGGAAACACCTCATTTTTGACTGAGAGGGAGGAGCTCTCTGAGAGCACGGCCTTGGTCTCTTGGCAATCTGTTCCTTACATTTCCCTGGGACCTCTCTCATCCTCTTGGCTAGAAGTTGAGCATAGTCTACGGCCTCCTCCTTTCTCTCTTCAGTGGCTGTTTCCTCTGAGCAGCTCCCCCAGGGGCCCGAGGAGAGCGAAAGGGACCGTCTGTAAAGGACCTCTTTGCTCTGTGTCCTCCGGCCGGAGTTAGCCTCTCCCAGGCTTTCTCTCTGAGCGTCTCTAGGACTCGCAGTCGCCCTGCGGGCTGGCTCCCACTCCCCGGCAGGACTTCGCCTGCTCTCCTCCCCCCACGTGTCCATTCCCCGGGCCCGGGGCCATCTGCTCCTGCTCTGCCGCAGGGTGGTGGTGGGCGCCCCCCAGGAGGTGAAGACGGCCAACCAGACGGGAGGCCTGTACCAGTGTGACTACAGCACGGCCGCCTGTGAGCCCATCCAGCTGCAGGGTGAGCCCTCCCTAGGCCGGCCTGTCCTGCGGGGCATGTCCCTGCGCTTGCCGGGCACCCCCTTCGCTCCCTTTGTTCTGGGGGAGGCTCTGTGGTTGGGGCCCCAGGGGTCAGCTCCAGCCTCTGTGTGGTGGGCGCCTCTACCCCCCGCACCCTCAGGCACTCCTTGCCCATGACCCGGTGCCCCCTTGGCCTGCCAGCCTGTGTCCCCAGGTCGAAGTGACCTCTGTCTAGCTTCTCTCGGGCCCTTTCATCTCCTGACTGTGACCTTGACCGTGTGTGTCCTCAGTGCCCCCGGAGGCGGTGAACATGTCCTTGGGTCTGTCTCTGGCATTTGCCACCAACCCTTTCCGGCTGCTGGTGAGTTGCCCTGGGTTACGCAGGGTCTGAGGGGAGGCGTGGAGACCTGGGGCTGCTGGGGCTGGGGTCTTGCAGAGGATGGAGATGTTGGCGTAAAAGGACAGCGCCCCCCACACCCTGCCTTCCAGGCCTGCGGCCCCACCCTGCACCAGATGTGCCAGGAGAACACCTACCTGAACGGCTTGTGCTTCCTGTTTGGATCCAACCTGCAGCAGCCGCCCCAGCGGTTCCCCAGGGCCCTGCGAGGTAGGCGGTGTGGTGTCCAGTGAAAGTGGGCAGCAGAGGCTGGAGGCAGGGCAGCCTGGACTGGGGCCGCTCAGAGTCTGGAGTGTGACTTAGAAGTCTAGGTGTAGAAGGTTGTGACAGAGAGAGGGAAACAGAAAGAGAGAGAGAGAGAGAGAGACTTGGGCCAAGTGCTAAGGTCTTGAACTTCAAGAAAAGTCCTGACACAGCCACTCGTCTTTGTAAGGCCACATTCCAAACACTGTCCTTACAGTCAGTGCCTTGTCACCTGGCCAGAAGCTCCTGAGCTTTAGGTGTTGAGGCCCCTGCCCACTCCCCCACCCCCCTTCTCCCACCCCTTCTCTTCTCCCACCCCTTCTCCCGCCCCTTGTCTGGCAGCCACTGTGCTCTGGCCACACTGGCTGTCTTTCTTCTTTAAGAACCACACCCAAGGGTCCTGCCTCCTCACTTTGCGCTCACCACTCACCTTTCCTTCAGCCTGGGATGCTCTTCCCCAGCCCTCAGCTGACAGCCCATTAGCGCCATCTCAGCTCCAATGGCCTCCTTGGAGGCCTTCCCTGAGGGCCCTTCCGGCCAGCCCCACCCGGACTCCCTGCCACATCGCCCAGCTACTGTCCTCAAGTCTGCATTTCCATTTTCTGCTGTTTCTCATCTGCCCCTTCCTCTGCAATGTTGGCTCCATGACAGCAAGGCTGTTGCCTAGCTTGCTCACTGCTCTATGCGTTTGTATTGCTTGCTTCATCACAAATTCCCTCTGAAGGTAGCAGCTAAAAACAACAAGATTAATTATCTTGCAGCTTCTAGGAATCAGGAGTCTGGGCGTGCCCTAGCTGGATGCCTCTGCCTAAGGCCATGGTCCCCAAACTGCAGCTGGAAAGCCACGAGCTGGTCTTTGGCCCCTTGAGTGTGGCGCTTCCACAAAATACCACGGCCTGGGCGAGTCTATTTTGAAGAAGTGGCGTTAGAAGAAGTTCAACGCCACTTTAAAAATTTGGCTCCAAAAGAAATTCAGTCGTTGTCCTGTTGCTATTTGGCTTTGTTGACTAATGAGTTTGCCGACCACTGGCCTAAGGCTTGCTCATGAGATGGAAGTCAGGTTGTCACACCAGAGCTGTTGTCTCATCTGAAGGCCTGAAAGCCACCTCCAGCTCGCTTCCAGGTTGTTGCACGGAGGCCCGGGGCCTCACTGGCTGGGGCCAGAGGCTCCCCCTAGCTATTTGTCACAGGGACCTCCACAGCGAGCAGCGAGCACCATCGCAGTGGCTTCCCTCAGGGTGGGGATAAAGACTGAGAGAGCTGAAACCGGTTTGGCTCAGTGGATAGAGCGTCAGCCTGCGGACTGAAAGGTCAGGGGTTTGATTCTGGTCAAGGGCATGTACCTTAGTTGCGGGCACATCCCCAGTAGGAGGTGTGCAAGAGGCAGCTGATCAAGATTCTCTCTCATCGATGTTTATAACTCTCTATCTCTTTCTCTTCTCTCTGTAAAAAATCTCACTCTCTCTCTCTCTCTCTCTCTCTCTCTCTCTCTCTCTCTCTGTCTCTCTCTCTCTCTCTCTCTCTCTCTCTCTCTCTCTCTCTATATATATATATATATATATATATATACACACACATATACAGAGAGAACAGAGAGCAGGCACCTAAGCAGAAGTCACGGTCTTTCCTTAAACAAATCTCAGAAGTTACAGCTCAGAACTTCTGCAATTTCTTCGAAGTGAGTCAAAAAGTTCCGCTGAGCCCGGCCGGCATGATTCAGTGGTTGAGTGTTGACCTAAGAACCAGGAGGTTAGAGTTTGATTCTGGGTCAGGGCACATGCCTGGGTTGCAGGCTTGATCCCCAGTGTGGGCGTGTAGGACACAGCTAATCAATGGTTCTCTCTCACCATTATTGTTTCTATCTCTCTCTCCCTCTCTCTTCCTCTCTGACATCAATAAGAACATTAAGCCGGACCGATTTGGCTCAATGGATAGAGTGTCGGCTTGGGGACTGAAAGTTCCCGGGTTTGATTCCGGTCAAGGGCATGTACATGGGTTGCAGGTACATCCCCGGTAGGGGGTGTGCAAGAGGCAGCTGATCGATGATTCTCTCTCATCGATGTTTCTAACTCTGTATCCCTCTCTCTTCTCTGTGAAAAATCAATAAAATATATTAAAAAAAAAATAAGAACATTAAAAAAAAAAAAAGTTGAGCTAAGCCCTAGCTGGTTTGGCCATATGGGTAGAGCATAGCTGTGGACTGAAGGGTCCCAGGTTCGATTCCAGTCAAGGGCATGAACCTTGGTTGCAGGCTCCATCAGGACCCATGTGGGTGGCAACCAATCAAGGCATCGCTCTCACATTGATGTTTTTCTCTCTGTGTCTCTCCCCCTCTCCCTCCCATCTTTTCTAAAAATGGAAAAATATCCTTAGGTGGGGATTGACAACTCACTCACTCAAAGAGAGTGTCATTCTGCACAAAAAATAAAAATAAAAAAATTTTAAAAATCCAGTTAAAACTCAAGAGGAGGTGCCTGGTTCCCCAAACACTTGTGATGGAAGGAGCGAGCGAGTGGACCTTTTCTAAGCTGCTCTCGGCCGCCGCTTCCTCTCACTGCTGGGCCTTCTTTTTGCTGGTCTCCACGTTGGCTCTGGAACGGAGGGCAGTGTCCTCCGTGTAAGTTTCTCCCCATTACGGCTGTTCCTCTGCTCTCTGCCCTCACCGGAGAGCTGCCTCCTTCTCCCCGGAGAAAACCACACCACAGGCGGGACCTCCCTCCAGGCCCCTCTCCTGTCCCACCCGCCTCGAGGGCACCAGGCACCTCTCACTGGGGTTGGAGGAGGCCCTGCCTCGGCCTCAGAGGTTCTTTCACGCCCCCGACCTGGGGCTCCTATGGCCAATCACTCATTCCCTCTGGACCTTAAATGTCTCCCATTCCTTTCATGGAAACCTGCTGCTGATACCCACATCTTAGACACAATGAAGGACTACACTTTATACCAACATAACCTTCCCCTCCTGCTTGCCGCCCTATTCCCCCCCCCCCCCCCACTCCCCTTCCCTACATCAAACATCTTCGAAGGGCTTTCTTTCTCCGATTGACTCCCTCTCCCCAGGACCTGGCCTCACGCTCAGACATCTGGCTTCAGCCCATCCCTGCACAGACTCTTACAAATGGCATCTGTGACCCTGAATGGGGAGCGTCTTTTCTGTCCTCATGGTCACTGGCCTCTCTAAGGTGACCTGCAGACCTTCCTTCCCCACACAGCTCAGCCTAGGGGGTCCTGCCCCCTCCCCTCCCCATCCCTTCTTGCTTCTCCCCTGCAGAGGGCTGCTGCTAAGCATCACTGCCAGGCCATCTCCCCTGCCTGCCCCGCCTGCCCTCCTGCCCCGCCTGCCTTCCTGCCCACCTGCCCTGCCTGCCTACCTTCCCTGCCTGCCCACCTTCCCCTCCTGCCCACCTTCCCTGCCTGCCCACCTTCCCCTCCTGCCCACCTTCCCCTGCCTGCCCACCTTCCCCTCCTGCCCACCTTCCCCTCCTGCCCACCTTCCCTGTCTGCCCACCTGCCCTGTCTGCCCACCTGCCCTGCCTGCCCAGGGCTCCAGTGACAATTCCTCTTCCCTCCATGTGTTCTTCCTGCCTGACGCCTCCACTTCTGTGGCTTCAGCTCCCATCCTCACATCTCTCTCTTCCGTCCTCACTCTCAGGAGCTCAAGACTCTTCTTTGGAAACCATTTCCTGCCTTTCTGTTTCTCCTAAGATGCACGTGGTTGGGAATGCAGTGGCACTAAGGGGTGGACCGGGAGACTCTCCCTCTTGGTCCCCAGCGTCTGCTTCCTGTCCCATGGGTGGGACTCCAACTCACAGCCGTTTTGGTGCAGCGGGTGACAAGCCAAGCAACTGAGCCACTTGGCTGGCGCTGCCTGTGTATTTCAAAAAAGCCAATACTTTTTGGGTAATTTTAGTTTTTAATGTCCTACAATAAAATTGACCTTTTTTCTTCTTTTAAAAATTAATTTATTTTTCAATTGCTGTTGCTCTATATTGGTTTCAGGTGTACAACATAGTGATTAGGCATTTATATGTCTTATGAAGGGATCACTCTGATAAATCTCTTACCCATCTGACACCATACATCATTATTACAATATTATTGACTATTTTCCCTTTTCCCTGCCTTACATCCCCATGGCTATTTTTAGGGTACAGTCTCATGAATTTTAAGAGATGTATCTAAAACAACATGAACAGCATATCAGAGAGTCCCATACCCCCTAAGAAAACCTTTCTGCCTTTATAGTCAGTTGCCTCCACCCCTTCACCCCTGGCCTGGCACTCACTGCTCTGCTCTCTATCACTATATACACGTAGTTTGTCTTTTCAAGAATGTTACCTACATGGAATCATAACCTTCTGAGTTTGCATTTGGGATTCATTCACATTGTTGTGTGTATCAGTAGTTCTTTCCTTTTTATTGCTGAGTACTATTCCATTGCACGGATTTCCCACAGTCCCACTCTCAGATTCACTCATCGAAGGACGTTTGGGTCATTTCCCATATTTCACATCATGAATAAAGCTGCTCCAAGTCTTCCCTGCTACGGCTGCCTTTCTACAACATATAATAAAAACATCATCTCTCTCCCTTCCCTAAGAACCATCCGTGGCTCCCCACTGCTGAAGGGGTAAAGTCAAACTTCTTTTTGGATAGAGAGGCTCTTTCCAACTGCTCTCTGCTGATGTCACAGCCCCGTCTCCATCTCCCTCATATCGATTTACCTGGGCAGTTCCAGGTCCATTCCAGGGTTCTTTGAGGCCCATCTCCTTTGTATCAGTCGGGGTCTCTACTGGGACAGGTGGCACACTCCAGCTAAGATAACTCAAAGGGACTATTTACAAAGGGAAGTTGTGGTAGGGTCTAAGCTACTAAGGACAGTCCAGGAACCCTTGGCCAGCAGAGCTGTCACCACCCCTAAGTTGATAAGATAAGGAGGGGGAAATGTCACCGGAATCCAGAGGAGAGGAAGTGTGTGGAGCGGGCCTCCTTGAGAGGAAGGGCGATCTGCTGAGAAACACAGCCGGCTAGAGCAACCTTGCAGGGAGGGAGCCAAGTGGATCTCACTTTTCTCCCTCCCTCCAGTCTCCTGAGGAAGCTCCTAGCTGTGCAAATCCAATGAGAAGCCAGAGGGTAAGAGCCCTGTTGCTCTGGACCACGTGGGCCCAGGCTGCGGAGCGGAGAGGGGAGGGAGAAAGTAGATTTGGGGCTGAGGGCAGTAGGAAGAACATCCAGCAAACCTTTATAGATGCTATTCCTCCCCCCCCTTCCCCCACCCCAATAACTTGTTTCTTCCATGATATTCCTGGCAAATTATTTCTCATTCTTCATGAGGTAGCTCTAATGTCACTACTTCCCCTGACTCCCTTGGGCAGAATTAACCAATTGTTTTTCATACTGCTGAGAACCCATTCCCGCATGTAATAATTACAAGAGTCAAATGGTTGATGGGACTTGGGAGGCTCAACAAGGGGAGCCACATATGTAATTTACTTGTTGGAAATGGCTAAAAGGCACTTCCCCCTGTTACGGGTGACCAGTCAGCCAAATTGGAATTTATGAAGCCTTTATTACGAGCCCGGGCTCACGTCTCAACTGACACAGCAGCGAGCAACGAGAACCCCGACCCACTCTAAGCACGCTACTTTTATCCCCGTCTGAGGGATGCCTGGCAGATTATGATTGGCTAAAGTTTTAACAAAGAAAGGTCAGTTATAAGTTATAGAAAAATTCCACTAGTATGGTAACATTTAAAGTTTATACAACACCTGGGGTGGGTGTTTATTTTCAGCTTAAGCAGTCTCTGTTTGACCAGGTTTGGTCTGTTTGTCCTGCCTTGTGGCTACTGAAAACAGGACGTGCCTGCCTGGGTGTTGAGCTTCTGCAACAGAACTATTTTATGACTAACAGTTATGCTCCATTCTTTGTTGTGGGTCTGGTTCCTTACCTGACCTGGAGTCCTGCCTCGACAGGGTCTTGCTAGCCATTTGGAGCCCCGCCTCCACCGGGTCTTGCTGGCCACAACACACCAAACCTGAATAGGATTTTTAGCTGCTAGACAGCTCAGAGCATTTTATTGCCTCCTGTTGCCCAAACACCTGAACAGCTGTAGGCCAGTCCCCAAACTGATAATGCTCCTGTATTCTCCCTTTGAAGTGTATATTTCCACCTTGCCTTGGGACAAATTGTGTTGAATAAAAGCTTGGGTCCTTGGTCAAGGAAGAGTCTTCAGTTCCTTTTAGCTGAAGCTCCACTAACCTCCCAATGTCTTTCAAAAATATCTTTCATCTTTGGACTCCTTTTTAATAATCTATGCACAGCCCCTTTCTTCAGAATGCTGAACCCTTTGTAAGGCTGGGAAAAGACTTCCGGCATTATGGTGCCCTAACTAGGGACACCAACACATACCAATTTGTCCATATTTTTATTTTTAAAATATTTTAATGGATTTTTAGAGAGAGAGAGAGAGGCCATGAGAGGAACAGAGAGATAGAAACATCTATGAGAGAGCAACATCATGGATTGCTCCTCCTGCATGCCTACTACTGGGCAATCAAGCCTACAACCCGGCCATGTGCCCAGATTGGGAATCAAACCATTGACCTCTTGGTTCATGGGTTGATGCTCAACCAACGAGCAACACGGGCAGGGGGTGAGGGGAAGGAGTGGGTACCTAATCACTCTGCACTCTTTCCACGGTCCAGAGTGCCCCCAGCAGGAGAGTGACATTGCCTTCTTGATTGATGGCTCTGGCAGCATCAAGACAGATGATTTTCAGCGGATGAAGGAGTTCGTCTCAACTGTGATGAATCAGTTCACAAAGTCCAACACCTTGGTGAGGGCCAATGGGGAGGTTAGGGAACAGCCCATGCAAGGCTGCAAGGACATAGCAACAGGCCACCGCTTTCCTCTCCTCCCTCAACTACAGACTTTGACAAATGGTCAGTCGGTCGTGGTTTTCTTCCACAAGTCTCCATCTTGCTCTATCTGGGTGAAGCCTCAGTACTCTCCAACTCTCTGTAAAGCGGGCAGCTCTGACTGTTGGATAGGGGTTGGCATGGGAGATGAAACTCCATGTCGTCTCTGCCTGAGTTCTAGTACTGAGAGCTGATGGCAGGTGTCTTTCCTGGTGGGGCAGAAAGAGGGGGGCAGTGTAGGATTTGGAGACCAGAGTGCTTTAAGATTTCTGCAGGGCTTTCTGGGTGATGGCTGGGGGGAGGGGGGGCAGTCGTGGAGGCCTCCTCTTCTTTGGTGTAATGCCAAGTCCCCGCCCCCAGTTCTCTTTGATGCAGTTCTCTAGTGCGTTCAGGACGCACTTCACCTTTAAAGATTTCAAGGCTAACCCGAACCCGAATCTACTGGTGAGGCCAATCTTCAAGCTGGGCGGGAATACACACACGGCCACGGGAATCCGCAAAGTGGTGTAAGCTCTTTTTGATTGGGATGTGAACAGGGTTGACCCTTTTAGCTGGGTTTTAAAGGATGAGAGGAGGGGCAGGGAGGGAGTAAAGGATATTTCTGGCTGAGGGAACAGCATGCTAACGTGTGGAGGAGGGATTGTTCATGACAAAGCAAGTTGTGAGTAAAGGTGGGAGTGAAGGGGAAAGTGAGAGGAAGGCTGGAGGGAGGCTGGAGAGATCAGTTGAGGGCAGAGAGTATCCATGGGAGGTTTTAAACAGTGGGAAGACAGACCCATCACTCTATTTGGAAGGTTCACTCTGATTTCTGTGAGTGTGTGTATGTGAGTGTGAGTGTGTATATGTGTGAGAATGTGTGTGAGTGTGTGTGTGTGAGTGTATGTGTGGTGTACTTATGTGTGAGAGTGGGTCTATGTGTGTGTGAATATGTGTTTGAGTGTATGTATGCATGAGAGTGTGTATATGCATGAGAGTATGTATATATGTGTGAATATGTGTGTGATTATGTGTCATTGTGTATGTGTGAGAGTGTGTGTATGTGTGTGTTTGTGTATGTGAGTATGTGTGAGTGTGTGTGCATGTAAATATATGTGTATTTGTGCATGCATGTGTGTATGTGTGTGTATGTGTGAAAGTGTGTGTATGTGTGTGAATATGTGTGTGAGAATGTGTGAATGTATGTGTGAGTATGTGTGTATGTGTAGAGGCAAAGGTGGGGTGGAAAAAAATGCAGGAGATAAGCTTATTAAATAAGCAATTAAGCTTATTAAATATACTATATAATAAAAGAGCAATATGCAAATTAACCATCCCTTTGCTATACTCACAAACCATGCCCACCACCCATGCCCACCAGTCAATCAGAGCGAGTATGCAAATTAACCCCAACCAAGATGGCTGTGGCCACAGAGAGCAGGAAGGAGGCTTGGGTTTCCCTGGCAATGGAGGAAGCCAAGCTTTTCACACACCCTGGGAGGCCCAGGTCTCCACTCAAGGGTACAAAGTTTCAGTGACAGAAGGTAAATAAATTCCAACAGAAATGGCGGCAGCCACTGAGCTGGAAGAGCAGAAGGTTAGGGTTTCCCTGGGTGAGGGAGGAAGCCAAGCTTCTGTAGCCCTGGCCGGCTCAGGCCTTCACTCGAGGCTATAAAGTTTCAATTGTAGAAGGTAAATAAATTCCAGATACCAGGGCCTCCGCTTGGGTCACCGGGGAGCCTGGCTGGCCGGCAAACCACCACAGGCCCCTCACCCAGGCCGCCCCACACACAAAGGGAATCCCCACCGTAATCCAGGACACCCTTCATGGCAAACCAGCTGGCCCCCACCCATGCACCAGGCCTCTATCCTGTCTAATAAAAGAGTAATATGCAGATTGACCATCACCCCAACACACAAGATGGCTAACACATGTGGTCAAAAATCTTGCCCCCAGGTGGACACAAGATGGCCACCACAAGATGGCCAGCAGGGGAGGGCAGTTGGGAGGGACTGGGCTTGCCAGGGAGGGCAGTTGGGGGTGATCAACCCTGCAGGGGAGGGCAGTTATGGGTGACCAGGCCAGCAGAGGAGGGAAGTTGAGGGCAAACAGGCTGGTAGGGGAGCAGTTAGACATCAATCAAGCTGGCATGGGAGCAGTTAGGCACCAAACAGGCTGGCAGGGGAGTGGTTAGGGGGTGATCAGGCTGACAGGCAGAAGCGGTTAGGGACAATCAGGAAGGCAGGCAAGCGAGCAGTTGAGAGCCAGCAGTCCTGGATTGTGAGAGGGATCCTAGATTGGAGAGGGTGCAGGCAGAGGGACAACCATCCCCCCCCTTGCCCCAGTGCACAAATTTCATGCACCAGGCCTCTAGTGTGTGTGTGTGTGTGTGTGTGTGTGTGTGTGTGTGAATTTAATTTAATTTAAAAGGAATAATAGTTAAAAAACGCACCCTTTGCAAAAGCATGGAGAAGCAGTGAGAGCGTTCCCGCCACTGCTCTCCCTTCTCCTGCTGCCTTCACCCCAGTGTTCGCTCCGGGAGCCAAGCCGCCCTGGGCGTCTCCCCAGCGGCTGGGCCGGCTGACCCTCAGCATCAGCCCATCTCCGCCGCTCGCACTGACCCCCTCCCCTCCCCGCAGAAGAGAACTGTTTGTCCGCAGCAGAGGCGCCCGGGAGAACGCCCTTAAGATCCTCGTGGTCATCACAGACGGAGAGAAGATTGGTGACTCCTTGGAGTACCAGGATGTCATCCCGGAGGCAGACAGGGCGGGCATCATTCGATATGTCATCGGGGTAGGAAATGGGCTCCCGGCTTGTTGCCTCTGCCAGGCTTTAGCTTACCCCCCCCAACCCCCCCGCCCAGCGATGAGCAAATGGGAATAAAATAGGAGCGGCTGCAGTCCCCATGGCTAAGACAGTTGGTGGTGGTGGTGGGGGGGCAGTTATTCTGGTCTCAGCAGGGCTCATGGCTGGGTGCTCTCCTGCGCCCTCTGCTGGCAGGGAGCGGGGGTGGGTGGGGTGGGGGCAGTAGTAACAGGCTCTTCTGCTCCACTTCAGCCTCCAGTGGCCTGGCCGGGCCTCCTGGCCAGGGCAGAGGAACCAAGAGCCAGTGGAGATGTTGCAAGCACCGTTTCAAGCCTCTGCTTGCATCACACTTGCTGACATGCATGTGCTGACCGCAGAGATAGGAGCAGGCAGTCCTTGGCCTGGAGCAGGAGGCACAGCAATGCTTTGGGGAAATGGCTCGGGCTGGGGAATGGGTAAAGGGTCGGGACCACCAGTGTCACCAGACTCGCACGGAGCCGTGTGACAGGAAAGGGTGCCCCTTCCTAAAAGGAAAAGGCGGGGAGCCAACCCCACAGGAGGCAGCTCAGCTCAGGACCAAGGGCGGGGTTCAGTCCCAGCTGCCCCCCACCCCCTGACAGAGAGGACAACCGCTCTCCCCTCTTTGGCAGCCGGGCCCGGGGCCGCTGGAGCTGTGTCCTGGGCCACACGTGGTTTCCGGAGCTGTTCCTGCAGAACGCTCTTTGCAGGGATGTGCGTGGCCTGATTCGGCTTCTGTTCCTCGGTAACAGGTGGGCAATGCCTTCAACATCAGGAAGAACCGCGAGGAGCTAGACACCATCGCGTCCAAGCCGTCTCGTGACCACGTGTTCCAGGTGACCAACTTCGAGGCGCTGAAGACCATTCAGGACCAGCTGCAGGAGAAGATCTTTGCGATCGAGGGTGAGCTCAGGTTCTGTGTTTCTGGAACAGCCCCGGCGGCAGCCCTGCGCCCCGAAACACTAGCCCCTCCGAGCCTCTGGTATCCTGACCCTCAGCGTCAGCCCTCTCCCGCTTCCTCCATTTCCAGCAACTCTGGCTCCACTTGGTCAGTGCCTTTGGAACAGAAGGATCTAGACTTGTTCCCCCTCTAATATTGCCGCTCTTGGCCACAGGCTGAATATTTGGAGGGCAGGGGAGCCAACCTCCCCCACCCCCACCCCCCGTATTTTTCTAAAAATGTGGATGTTGCCAACATTTGTCTGTTTGGTTCACTGCTGCCTTCCCGGTGCCTCAGCCTGGTGCAGAGAGGGTGCTCGATAAAAGATTTCTGAGAAAAAGACTTTAAAGTTGGAGAAGTTCAGATGCAGTTTGGATTTATGGCTGCTCTTGAAAAGCTGGGACATTATACACCTACAGGACCACAATCCCACTGGCAAAAAGTGGCTGGAGCCAAAGAGCCACCATCCCTTTAAAAGGGGCGGGGCATATGCTTTCCCCTTTAACATGGCTCTCACCTGAGCCTCTCTTTGGCCAGCAAAGCGTGTGCGTGTGTGCGTGTGTGTGTGTGTGTGTGTGTGTGTGTGTGTGTGTGTGCTTTACAGGAATATAAAACTATTTATTGACCTCTGTTTACCGGTACTTACAATTAAGGCAACAAAGTACAATTGGGTAACACCGTTCACTTCAAAGAGGCTGTTTTTCCTGCTTCGCTGAACCAGTCCCCCACATGCTGAGACAGAGCTACATGTGAGGGATGAGTCGGGCTAAAGAGAAAACAGGCGGGTCAAGAGTTTAGATGACAACAGCTTGTTCACCACCGATTCCAGCAGGTCCTCATGGCCAAGGTCTCTAACTACCTGATTGGGCTTCCATGACAAAGTCTTACACAGCCCCTGAGTCAGGACACCGCAGTCAGCCAGGCACAGGGGTTTCAACTCCAGGTAAAGGGATGGCTCCTGAGGAAGGGGCTTTGAGTAAGCCCCTTGATTAACCCTCTAGTTTTCCCATTTGGGAGGTTGTTTGTTGGTAGTGACGAAACTTTCCTTTGAGGAGTTTTTCAAATAAACTTGCATTTATGATTGTAGATATGGATAGAGATTCTGATATGACTGCTCTTAAATGGCCTGATTTAATCTGTTTACATTATATTTAAACTAGAGCCCTGGTGCACAAAAT